TACTCAGCTCTTTTTCCTAATTATTCTACTGTAGTACATCATTTACTTGAAAAATTCAGTTCTACCCAGCTTGTCAGCCAGTCAAAGAATACACTGATTTCATCCTACACAGAAGGATAAGACCCTTCCCCAAAAGGGATCACCTACCAATGTTTCAGATACATTATTTATTTATTCTGAAACCAAGTAAATGCTTATAGACTATGATATAAAAAACAAGTGATTTCAACATTCAACAACCTAACAAGGGTTAATATGTTGTAAATTCAAAGAAACCAGCCCAGAAGCTTTAAAATGTTTTCTTTATGACTGACACAAACAAAACATATGCATTTCTCTTTCTGCTTGATATGGGGAAAAAATATTTTAAGGTAAAATCATCACCCACAATGAAACTTGGATCAAGATTCCAAAACACAGTACACCAATCAGTATTCGTTAACTAATAAGAGTTAAATTTATTTATTAGATACTTGCTCATAACAACCTTAGTTATCAAAATTACCTTCTTCATTTCTGTTTTAAATATATCTGAGTGACAGGGTTTTTGAATGAATATAGTTATGTCTCATCAAGGTCATAGTTTTGAAATCTCATATTTGAAGTTAAGCCGTATTAAGCAGAATAATCATTTGTGCCTGACTTTCTGGGATGAGGAGTTATAATTTACTCTATTTACATTCAGACTATAACACAAGAGAGCTGTGGCAGAAATATTTATTCTCCCATTTATGTTTCTTTGGTTATGGGCATTATTACATCTGTGATATAACAACACTGTAGTTCACGGATGGAATAAAATGGCTGAAATGAAAAAGAATGTCAAACATGTTTTGTTCTCAGAGAGACTTTTATACTACTAAAGCATGCACAAAACTATATATACATATATACAAGTGTCCCATGCAGAGAAAAATATATCACATATATCTACACGGCAAGGTAGAGTGTAAGGAGAAACAAAAAAGAAGGGACTTACATATAATATGGAGATACCCCTATGTCTAGAGAAGCCATGATTTGGAGAAATGGCAAGTCTTGGGTTTTCCCAAACTAAGGACAGTGAACCGGAGTTTCTATATCTGGGAAAAATGTATTCCAAAAGGGAAATGGCAACATGTACTTGTAAGCTTCTGGGGACACAGATTTAGCCTCTGCTTGGGCTTTGGGCCTAGGGTTAAAGAAAGCAACTTCTCAGTTGGGTTGCTATAAACAAGCAAAGGGCTGCAATTTTTCTCCTCTTAGGTTGATCTTGGGCATGTTGTGGAATCTGGAACCATTTGGTGTCTCCTTTCTTCTCAGTTCTTTAACTGTAGTGTGCCATGTCATTTTAGGATGACCACTTGGTCTTTTGCAGCTTTGAGATATCTGCTTTGGAGCAACTTTGGCTGTCAGGATATGGCCAGAGAATTGTATTTGCCTATCATTACACTAAAGTCTTTAGAATTTGCACACCTTAGCACTTCCTCAGTCCTGATTCTATCTCTCCAAGGTACTTTTAGGATTTTGCGGAGGCAGTTTAATGAAACACATCTAAGAGTTGGATAACTTTTGTGGTGGATTTTCAAGATTTTATGCATATAAAGCAGTTGAGAAGAGAATAGTTATATAACCCTGAGACTAAAACCCTGATAGGATCTGGTCTTTCAAAGACCTTCATTAGCTTTTTTAATAACATTACTAACAATTATATCCTTTTAACCACTATCCACCTGATACTGTAACATCCCAGTTGTATATGTCATAATTCTCTTATTATGTAATAATAATGTTCACCACTCCTAAATCGAGTTTAATTCCATTCTGCTATAGTAGCATGTCATATAAAAATTAGGCTGCTTTTCTATAAGATGCTGCTTACAAAAAAAAAAAAAACCTTGCACATCAATACTACTGTAGTATTTTGATCATTACAAGGTGCCCAATACTAGTAACCTTGTGCCAGCTACTTTGTGGAAGAGACTCCTATGTGGATGTTTCCTTCCAAACATGATTTTAACCTCTTCAAGCCAAGAGTCAATCATTATCTATTCTCTATATATTCATAATATTCATCCCCAACTTCCTCCTCATAGATTTATATCACACACCTCTTTCAGTAACCCTCTACCTTAAGTGGCTCTTGAGCCTTGCATTCGGTGAACATTAATAAAAAAAAATTAGTAAATCATGACAGAAAATTGTTAGAAAGTTAGTCTTGTATACTATTACTACTGTAGTAAGATCTTTCTTTTACTAAATGTTTACCCAATGCAAGGCTCAAGAGTCACTGATGGCAGAGTGTTATTGAGTGAGGTTGTTGTATAGATGCTAAGTGCAGATTATGAGGATATGTATGATAGATAACAGTTGACCCTAGACTTGAAGTGGTTAATATTGTAATACTCAGGGAACACCCTCTTGGGAGGCTGTTCCACTTAGTAGTTGTTTTAAGTATGTGCTTATAATTTGTAACCTTTCCCAAATTACGATAAACTTAGTAAATACTGTAGTCTGATGGCTACCAAGCTTCTCTCATACAACAGTGAATTTGATCCTCACTACCTTCCATATTATTATCTTGCTCCAGACAAAGGTAAGCTAAGTAAATATTTAGAGTTTGTCATATCTAATTTCTACCAAAATCAAATGCCATTTGAACCCAGTTAAAAAGTCAGGATTTTGAATTCTGATTTTAAAGAAAGTCAGGTAGGTACCATCCACTTGCAAGATTGCTGCAACACAATCTTACTATTCTCATTTCCCTCAATTTAGTCTTTGGCTCTATAGATGAAAAATCTTGAAAAATCCTGAGAAACCTATATATTTTTTCTCTTTGGCATAACTCCATTGTTGTGATGACAGTTGAATCATAAAAAGATGTTTCACTTTTGTCTCCTGAGGAGGCAGTAGACAGCCTGTTAACAGTTAAAGAAAAATGAGATTTTTTTTCTTTCAATCAAAGGTTGACAGGTAAGGCTGGTTATATCAGACATGATTATGTCTACTTCAATAAGAGTGAGTGTATAAGTTGTGTGTTCAAGTCTAAGCAATATCAATCAGCTGAGAAGCAAAGATGAAGTATTGGCAGCACTTTTGACAGAAATATTATCCCTATTCACCTTTGTTGTTTTGATCACTATTTATCAGCTATTGGGCTCTCTGGTCTTCTTTCTGTTATCTGAAGTTTTGAGATAAATATTATCCCTATTCTATGAATTACTCAGACCAATATCTTCAACTTTGTTGTTTTGATCACTATTTATCATCTATTGGGGTATTTTACTTTCATTGTGTTACCTAAATCTATGAGATGAATTATTGCTGTTATTTCATAAATTATTCAGGCTAATATCCTTATCTTTGTTGTTTTGATCATTATATTTCAGGAATTATGCTGTCAATCCTTAATCTTGCCTTAACTTTCTGTCATTATTCCATTAATAATTCAAACTAATATCCTCATCTTTGTTGTTTTTACCATTATACTTTGTTAGTAAATTCTCTGGGTTTGCATACAGACATTCATTTTTTAAAAAAAATCATTATTTCTATTATAATGATCCAATTTCTGTATATTCGTTTGCATGTGCGTTCCAGCAAAAATGCAATACTCTTAAAATGCTCTGACTTGGAAACTAGACTAGTTTTCAATTGGACTACTTATTTCTCAGTAATTTTGAACTAAATGTCTATCCATGCAAGATAACTCCAGGACCATTTCAAGTTGATATGAAGCTGCTGAACATTTCTTAGCCTGACTAAGAAGCATTTTCCCAAAAAATCTGGTGTTTGATCATTTGGTTAAATTTTGGAAAGTGGGTCACATCAGGAACTTTCATGTACCTCCTCATATATATATATATATATATATATATATATATATATATATATATAATTTTCTTATATATCAAGAACTATTTTAGGGGAAAGAAGTATGACAAAGTGAAAAAAGCTTTTGTGTAAGACATTTCGTTCTTTAGGACTTCATCAGACTAAATTTATTTTTACATTGATGTGATTACACAAGCCCATGAACAAGAGATGCTGGGAATTTTAAATTTAAATATTACTTTTTTAGTGATGGGAACAACAAAAAGAATCTAAATGAAATCAGCTATATTATATACCCAAAACCCACATTAAAAAAATCATCTTTAAATTTAAAATTCCAAGCATCTCTTGTTTGTGCATGTGTGTAGGTCAAATCGAATTCATAGAATAAGGATAATATAACAGAAAGTAGACAAAAAAAAGCTCAATACCTCACACCTTTTTTCTTTTTAATCATTTCACCCAAAGAAAAATGATTATGCCACTGAGAGTGAAAGAAAATGAGAAAAGGTTACTAAGGAGAAAATAAAATTAAAAAAATAAACTGGATTCACAAAGATAGAAAACGGGGATATATATACCTTTCTTTTAAACATGTTTCATTGAATATAATGCCTCACATGTCACTTATCAGATCAAAGTGCCATACCAATACATCTAGCCACCCACGGTTTATAAGATCCCTTAAGAAAAATTCTGGTTGGAAAGACAAAAATTCTATGTAAATCAAATTACCAGAGACATCTCTCTGTGAGGGAGGCCCTGTATATAAAACATCCTGATCCCACTATCAACCTCACCTAATTCAACAGTGGTAATGGGATGGTGAAAGTTTTTTTAAAAAACAATAGACAGACACTCACTTGAATTCCAACTGTGCTCAGAATAAAAACTCATACTAGTATTCAAAACAGCACAAAAAGTCCATCTTAAATGGTCAAACGTGAAGAGAAATTAGCAACATCGAAAAACAACCCCCTTAAAAAGGGCTAAAGAAATGGCTGAAAGTCATTGGAACAATGGATAATATGAAAAATTTTTGCACTCCCTTACTTCCACCAAAGGAGATATGTAAGAATGCTGAAAAAAGTAAATAAAAAATTAAATTTTCCTTGTTTTCAATGAAACACACACACACACACATATATATATATATATGTATATGTATGTATTATTATTAATTACAGGTAAACCACTCACCCAGCTTCAATACAGATTCACCTCTTGATAAAGAAATCAAAAGTACATTGGTTGGTGACTCTCTAGCCCTGGTTAATTTTGGAGCAGCTGATCGAAGGAAATGTACAGAAGAAGAAAGAAAGAAAGTGAAAGACAGACTTCTGGGACGTACAACGAAGAAAGAATCCAAGTACAGTAATATTTCTGTTTTTCTAAAAAAAGAAACTTTCCTTTCTTTCAAAAATTCTTAAAAAACTTTCTTTTTTTAATCAAATATTATTTTCAAATATTTTAATTTCTTCTAATGATCCTCAAAAATTTGTTTTTACAAACTTTTCTCTCTTGCAATAGATATTCACCTTGTTCAGTCAGGTCTGGTGCAAGGTCACAATAATGGAACACCTGTTATAGCTCAGTTATAATAAATTTACTATAGGAGATAAGAAACTGGAATCCAGGATAGATTGCACTAGGGTACTTTATATTTTAGTTGTCTAAACTTGAGCCATGTTCTTAAATATAAAATTTTGTACTTGTTCAGAAATGTCTAATCTATCAGCTATATACAATCGTTTTCTGATATCAATGAGTAAAAATGGCTTCAAGAGAGTAAAACCTCCAGATCTTAAAGAAGACAATCCTCCATTTGACCATATAGACTCTGTACTGCAAAATCACAAAGAGCTTTAACAAATAACAAAAACCATATCAATTCCAACAGCAACAAAAATGTAACACATATATAACAAGGGAAAATAATGACATACTCAAGATGTTACCTTTCCACACTACCAAAAAAGGTTAGGAAACAAAATTCCATCAGTAGTAGAAAGAGCTATAACATTTAGTGGACTTGAGAAATCTAATTTCTTGAAAAACTGTCTTAAGAAAATGATTTTATAAATTTCAACTGACAATAGCATTAATCTTTCGGTCAATGATTGCTGAATGTTTTCTGTATACAAACAGCTAATTTCATCATTACTATTACTATTGATACCATTCCAAGTGACGCCATGGTGATTCCACTCACAAAATATGTTGATGTCAACTCATTACAGCTTAGCCTGGCAAATGACCTTATTGGTATTATCATATTAACCAGACTGAACAGCAGTTGTGTAGTAAAATAGATGCAATTCTCACTCCATGGTTGTATTCCTTGTAGTGGTACCTGTTACTGAATATTTGGGTTGTTGATGTGTCCAAAGTGTTGAATATATTGTCTCTGAAATTGGGGTCCCAGCTCAATTGGTTTACAATATCCACAAAGTCAAGTGAGATGTAAATGATTTTATCTGAGCCTGAAACAAATGGTATTTTATTACCAACTGTAAAGTCTAGATGTAAAGACTTCAAAGCATTTACTCACTGTTCACAAGTTAGGAAACAGTAAGTAAAGTAAAGTAATAAATTAAAACTTTCAGGAGGAAGTGCCACTCAAGCAGAAGATAGTGAATTCTACAATGGGCAAGTGATAAATTGTTTATTGTGAGGTAGATATGGGCTGTTGGAGAGTGTTAGAGACAAGACACAAGCTGTCTGTCAAGATGTAAACAGTCACAGTCAGAAGTGAGCAGAGAAGCAGACACAGTTTTTGTTGGCCAATCTAATCTGTTAGTTTATTATGAGAAAAGACAGGAGTAGCAGTAAAGATCTCCTCAGTGTCATTTACTTACACCTCCCTGATCATGTCAGGTGAATCCATGAATAAAAAAAACAGTATATTGAAAAGAAGATTCATGTTTTCTTTTATTATCTTGGTATTATTTCACTTTTCATTCCCAGGTGAATTTATGTTATATTGTCACAACATCATATGTGGCTCGAACTGGTGCTTGGCAAACTATAGTCATTGTTCCATAGTGGCTTGTATTGGCTATCTTTAGGTTACTACCCCAAAATTGCACTGTTTAAATTTGTCACAAGCCATTTTTTATCAGGTGAATGGTTTTCTTGTTATAATAAATGGCACAATATTGACCATTTTTATTGTCCCTGACTACTTGTTAGTGATAGAGATGGTACAGTGAGTGAGAGAACTTCCCTAACTCAGCTGTTTTTTTACAAGCCTTTTGCTTGCTACCAAGCAAAAAAAAAATAAATAAAAAAAAACACTGAAAAATTTTAGAGGGAGAAATTTCTTTTTTACTAGAAAATCACACCTTCTTGCTAGTTGCAGATTCATCAGTTCACAGTCCAATGCATCTTTTTCCTTTTTGTGGTACCATCAATTGACCCTATGAAATATATTGTATTTCAGAAATATGATACATCTTCAACAACCTGTGTACCTGTTTCTTTTGATTTTTTTTCTAATCCTTAACTTATTTTTCGCATCAAGAATTTTCAACTTTTTCTTTTTTACATTGATGCTGATGGTAATCAAAACACATTATTGATTAAAGCTGACTAGTTTAGTTTACAAGATGTCTTCTGTATCTGTAAGCAATACATCCCATTCTTAATAGTGGTACTTATTCTGAACTTGAGTTGTTCGTGGATATCAAAAGTTTAGAGTTAATTATGGTAACTCTCTGTTAGAGACATTTATCCACTGAAAAGCTTCAGACAGAATCTTTGAGGTACAACTGAGAAAGAGGACTGTAGGTGAAAACACATTATAAACTATAGATTTATATTCATCTTATAACAGCAAGGCAAACATGATGATATAGAGAAAAATATAATAAATCTCATTTATTCTTTGTGTCAAGCAAGTGTCTTTCAATTTTAAAACATACAACAATACTGGAATGAAAATATTGTAGGTTGATTAAAAGAAAATTAATCAGGCTTTCATCTGTGCATTTGTTTGTGGGTTCAACACAACTTTCAAATGTTTGTATTTTGTACCTAATCCCATTCAGTTATATCTGTCTGTCTGTCTGTCTCTCTTGGAACCATCCTTTTCTCTTTATACTGGTTTGCCACTTTATTATATGTAAGGATCATTTATTTACCTTTCTGTCGGTATTAATTAGCCTCATTTTAGTTAAATGGTATGATAAGAAAATGGCCTCTTGAAACATTTAGTCAGACATACACAAAAAGATAGTGTTAGTAATTTATCTAGTAACTCAAATGAGTGGAGCACTCCCTTTGGACTGATTTACAATCAGTCATTTGCAAGACTAGTTTCCCTCTATCATTTTACATGAAGTGTCCTTGGCTCTTTTAAAAGATGTGACCCTCATACAAATACATATTGACTTAGTGGCACAAAATGAAAGCTGTAAAATACACTTTGGATCAAAATCACAATCTTTCAAGACTTCTCTTGAGAGATTCGTTTGGGAACTCTTTTGCATTATAACATGAACATAGAATGGCACCGACAATGATTGATTTGATCCTGAGAATGATAAATGATATTTTAATAATTTTATTCACCCAATTTGAATTGAGTTCTTCACATTAAAACTCCCTGAATATGACCAAATGTAACATACACCTGAAGATGGCTGGAGAGTACATTGGTCAGAATAAATAAGTAATAAATAAATGTGGCATCACATATAAATAATAAATCGTTGTTGTTGGCATCTGCTTGCATCAGGATCGTCATTCTCTCTCCCTATTCCATTTCTCTCTCCAAATGGCGGTGGCAGAAATAGCTGTGAATCAAAGAGAGTTTAACAAGGCCATTCACTTGAATTTGATTTTGGTTGACAACTCTTCGCAACGGAGAAGCCCTTGGTCAGAAGCACCTTCCTTGCAAATCAAAGGAGATTGAGACAGGTGAAATCTGGTTTCATCAAGCTGTAGGGTGCTTGGTCTGTCAAGGCCCACCTTGGTTACACCAGCCCAACTGGTGCTACACTCTTCCACTGGTTTGGCCATTGAGATCATGTAGATATTTGCCTATTCTGTAGTTGGGTTCTTCAGGGGTTGGTTGCATTCAGTTTGGTCCTCTGTCTTTGAACTTACAACCATAGGTGGCCCTACAGGCGTTGGAAGGCCAGACAGCTTTGCTCTTAGGAGCACTGGAATAAGTAAGCCTTCTACAATGACAAGGAATATTCATATAGATTTTACGCTGGATGTCAGAGTGAACAGTTTGTTATCAAATGTACTACTTTGACTTAATATTACTTTAATGACAATAATAGAAACAAATCAATAGATAAGAAAAGAATAAAACTAATAAAAGTATAAAATTATTATTAAATATATGAGAACAATTTTTATTATTGTTGTTGCTAAAAATAAATACTTGAGAGATAAATAATAAAGGAAGAAATTCACTACTGAACAAAAAATAATGTTACAACTCAAAACACTTTTCCTACAAATTTAAAAATATGTCCTCATCCATAAAAAATGTTATGTTACTGCAATGAATAAATAAGTATTACAGGAAGGTACAAATGTGTGGGGAGTGTAAAGGTTACTGTCTTGGAATGAGAAATCTGCAAAACATGTTCGAATTCTAATGGAGTTCATTACAGTCACTTTTACACAAATAATCTTAGGAAAGGTATTAATCAATCAATTTTTCTCCTGGCTATGGGTTAAATAGTAAAGCAGACAGAGCCATTCAGTCTAATAGAAGAAAAAGTCTGAATTCCCAAAACAGATTGGATGGAACTCCTCAGACTGGGAACATGTTATCTAAGGAAAGAAAAACTTTAGCAGAAAATCAACCTTTCTTCAGAATATAGCAATTAGGCATGAGGCTAATCAGCTCACCCTTTGGAAGGATTAAATTACAGAAACCTCAAACTGGTGCTTTATATGCCTTAAGGTACTAGGCTGATAACATCGTGTTACTGGAAGATCATGGATTTTTGGGTAGCATAATGGTCATCCATCTCTTTTTCCTACAGTTAGGTTTATGGCTACATCATATTATGTTGAAACACCAGTTCCTGAACAGTCACCAAGGTTAAGCAATCTTGAGCCTAAATGGGTAACTGCTTGGGAATATCAGGTGCTGTAAGCTTGGATGTGTGGCCAGTGTAATGGATGTCTTGGAATTATTAATCAGAGAGCTGAGTTCCAATTCTCATTGGGTTCATTATATTCACTTACATGCAAAAATACCCTTGGGAAAGGCATGAATGCACCTCTTCTCCTCCCAGTTATGGGTTAATTAGTAAGCCATTATTATCTCAAAAAAAATTCTTACAATCTAAACATATTTCCTGGCTTTAAATAACCTGCAAAATGTTGATAAGCCATAGAAAATGTATGAATCAATCAATCATTCTTCCAGTTATGTATTAAATAGCATGGTAGCCTTGGGTGGCAGCCAGTTTAAAAGAAAGAAAAATGAATTCCAAACTCTAGAGTAGGCAGCAAGAAACCATAGTAGTATCTTTCCCAAGAATTATGGGAAATCATAGTTAATAAAGAAAAGGTATCTGCAGAAAGCCACAATAACCTTGATTTTGACCCTGAAGGAACATTGTATTAAACAAAAAAAAGAAACAAAGCAAAACATTGATAAAATTTTAGACTACCAGATTAAAATTATAGAATCACCTTTGTTAGATGGTTCAGTAATGAATTGACAGCATTGTGTTGAAAATGGGCTGATCCAATCAGTATTAGTATTAATCCAAACACAAAACCTAATCCTAATTAGTACATTTCTGATTGTTACCATTTTTGCAAAAAGAGAGCACTATCTCTCCTTATGGATTATACAGTAGAAAAAAGCATTTTTTTTATTGATTGTTTTTTTTATGGCTTATCAACCTTTTGCAGGTTATTTAAAACCAGAAAATATTTTCTTTAGATTGTAAGAATTTTTGGGAGATAATAAGGATTTACTGATACAAGTCCTACTACTTAACCCATAGCTGGGGGAGAAGAGGTGTTCATACCTTTCCCAAGGGTATTTGTGCATAAGTGAATATAATAAATCTGACTGGAATTGGAACTCTGTTCTCTGATTTACAATTCTGAGCCAGTATCCATTGCACAAACTGCACATCCAAGCTTACAGATCCTTGTATTCCCATGCAGTCACCCATCTAGGGTGACCATGCTCGATGTTGCTTAACTTCAGGTGATCTTATGTGAAATGGTGTTTCAATGTAACATGGCCATAAACACTAGAAAAAACTGTAGAATAAATCATTTGAAAAGTGAACATTAGTATATAAAAATAAACACAAATGAACAAGTTTCATCTGTCCTATAGCTAAATAATGAAAATTGGGAGTAAATAGATTGTATCAATGGTTCAAGTGAGGAGAGTCTAACTATTTTGAAAATCGGCATTTAAAATCCGGGTTTTTACTTGGGTTAAAAAAGAAGACATGATTTGTGTTTACAGGAAATATGCAACTACTTTGGCCATTAATTTGACCTTCTTCCTCTCCTTCTTATCTGCTCAATTCTTTGTCTGGGAAGCATAAGCAGGATTAGATTAAGTCAAGATGGAAGTGGTAATCACTTTCCTCTCACCAACAGAATTCTCTTAAAGCTTATATTTGAAAGAATCCTATCTCTTTCTCTCCTCCTGGTTTTCCATCTATTTGAACACAATTCCTTGCTGTCTTGCAAAATGTGGACAGCCAGGAATAAATTTTTCATCTTTAACTTTTGGGGAATAATTTTTGTAAGTTATTTAATGTTGATTGAAAAACTGGACCAACCACTGAGGAGAAAAAGACAGAAAATGATGAACAGACAATAGGAGGCATTTTTTTTTTTTTTTTTTGGTATATAATGAATAAAATATTTTCTTCCCCAGAGAACAGAGGCAAAAAAGATCTGTCTGGAGCTCACAGTATAGTGAATGGGATATTTTTTCTGTTTTTTTTTTTCTTTTTTTAATTTTCAATGAAATGTTTTAAATAGTATCTGTTCAGTAAAATTTGGTTCTTATCACAAAATCCTGTAGGAAAAGGTTACATCTAAGTAATGTAGAAAAAGTGAGAAATAGAAACATTGTAATTTGAGTTTTCAGGAGACAAGCTCATTTCTGATAAGATTAAATATTCTTACTGTTATTGTGAGTTTAATTGTAAGCTGATTTTATGTGATTCTTCAATAGATTTGAAGCAATATTTTCTCATTTTATTTGCCATTTTTATGTTTTTTTTTTAAGTGATTTAAATAATGAGTTAAATAATCATATATATATATATATATATATATATATATATATATACAAATGTAAAAGAATGGAGAGTAAGATTTCAGCATTCAAAACATTAATTTAAAACAGAGCTCAATACAAAAGTAGAGTTGTAAATATTTCTTTATTATGCAGTGTTACATTAGAACATGCACATACCCACTACAAAACAGTACATCTTGTTTCAACATTAAAAAACTTTTTAATGTTGAAACAAGATGTACAGTTTTGTAGTGGGTATATCCCCTTCCGCTGCCCCTATGAGGTGTACCACACTGTTTGGGAACCACTGATCTAGAGCCTTCAATCCTTACTGGGTGTGTCATTATTTTTTGTTAAACTAAGCTAAGTATAGATCTGTTTAAAGGGTCTGCCTTAGAGTAATGCTCAGCAAGCTAGTCTTGTACTCATTACTGATGAGTTTAATCTTCCCTTGATTACTCTTGTGGCCTTGCGCCAGACTAAGCTAAGTATACATCTGTTTAAATTGATAGCATTGAAGCAATGGTTAGCAAGTCAATTTTGCAGCCTAATGTAGATGTGTTTGATTTTGGTGAGTATCCCAATACTGTGGTATCTTCTGAACACCTGCTTTAAAATAATGACTTGCAATTTAATCATGCAAATCAACATTAACTATGCTAGACCAATCTCCATTTTTCATCTGAAGCACATTGTACAATTTAATGAAAACTGGAATTATATGGGTCATAAGAATGTAGAAAGACAGAAATTTATCTTGGAAATATTTCTGGATTCTGCTGTTAAGGGAACAATGTCTTATATATCTAGAAATTCTTGACAAATACAAAGAAGAATCTGCAACATTATCAAATCTGACCTGGCATCTCGACTTCTCTCCCCACCCACCCCAACTGTGACATAACTTTCCTTTGCTTTTTCTATAAATATTTTCATGGCAAGTTTTCCTCACTGATACCTTGACTTCACAAATTTAAGCACAGTACTAGGTTGGCAGTTAGGTCCCATAATTTCACTGTTGAAATTACTAGTTGTAACCATTTCTATCTCTTCTTCTCTTGTATGCACTTCTCATTTCCTACTTTTCTGTCAACAAGATCTTCAAAAATTTAAATATAATCTGTCATCTTCTTCTGTCTCCTTGAATCCAGTTCTTTTATTCTTCTCTCTGTTTCTTTCATTCTCAGTAACCCCTTGCATCCTGGTAGCTTTATCATTTTGCTTGAAGTGAAATGATTAAAAAATATTTTTACTTAATTGACTGAGTGAGTCACTTCCATTTATCATATTTTGAAGATGATGTAAATATATACCGAAATATCAGCAAACTCAACCACAGATATTGATTATTTACAAACTTATAACATATAATATTTCTTAGTGTTATGATATCTCCTGAAATAAACCTTAAAAATTGACCATCTATCTCTAATACTGAATATTACATAAGGTGAACATTGAGTTATAGAAGAAGAATAAAAATACTTTGCTCCAAAATTCAGTAGAAAAAATTGGGTGTGTCTCTTGAAAGCCAGTGCATTTTTATGCTTGGAAATATGTTCATTTTATGCTTTATTTTTTTTTAAATTGATAGACAAAAGATTTTATTCATCTTTTATTTCTTCTTTTTTTTTTAACTTTGTTCCAGAGAAGAACAGGAAGTTGCTCTGGCTGAATATCTCAAATATTTAGAGAATTATGAAGACAAGCACATAGGTAACTTCCGTAGAATCTACCCATCTCCCAGTGCAGAAAGATATGACAAGTTCTTCCAGAGTAGTGGCAGCCTTTTTCAAGAGACAGTTGCCTTCAAGGCTCGGACGGAATTAGCCAGGTAATAACTCATCTTCTTTATAAATATCTAGTAAAACTATGTCAATGGATGTAACCGATCATACAACTTGAAATGCACAGATCATTTATGGCAGACATCTTTATGCTGAATTTCTCATGTCTTCTTTGGAAGGAGTTCTTTCTTATTCAGTTAGCATTTAAAATCTGCATTTTGTACTGGTGTGAATATCACTTGGCAAGGAATTTATCAGAACTTTTCAAAATGTATCCAATCTCAAGAATTGTCTTGATGTAACCTTGTAAACAATCAGAGGGGACCTTATTGTGCCTACATAAACAGATACTCTCTCAAGGGGTTACTCAGCAGTCAGACACCATTGAATGAATTTGTGTACTGTGTGATCATCATGTTCTTATGCAAGGATTTTTAGCAACATATAGTATCATACGGATTTTTAAGCTCTTTTTCCGTTATGGTTATCCGTGACTTCTGGCTTTTCCCAAGATAAGTGACTGTGATAGAGATTTCAGATCATGGACAAGATTATGAACTGAGGAGAATGTAGACAAATTGTCTGATAGATTCAAAGAAAGAATTCAGTTGACTGTTTTGAAAAGTAAAAGGGATACTGGCATGTTTGAAGAGGACAAAGATGTCATTTCTCTAGGTAGCCTTTTTTATATTAACTGACTAGCTCTTTTTTTAGGTAGATCCCAGATATCTCTGACTATACATTTAAATTTTTTAATACTATTCTTCACCCAATACAAGGCCCAAGAACTACTCAATGTAGAGGGGAGGCTTTTGTAAGAGTGTAAAGAGAGAGTAAGAAGTACATATTATGAGATTTAGTAGGATAGATAATAGTTGATCCTTGAAGAGGCTCAACTATTATCTATCCTACTAAAAGAGGATTAAAGAGGTTTAAATTGAAGAGGTTTAAATTATAATGTTCAGAGAAGCCTGTGATAGTTCTGGGGAAGAAGCTGTCCAAGTGGAACTTTCAACTTACCAAAGGAAGGAGTATCAAGAGAATGAGGATGAATTGATGAGTACATGGCTTTGCAGATCCTAGCTATAAAGGTCTTAACTAGTAGAGCTAAGGAATATAAGCCATGTGATAGAGTAATGATAGGTTAGGAATGTTTTGTCTGTGGGAAAATAATAACTGAGTGGAAAATAATTCATCACCCACAAGGCCGGATAAATTTTTTTTTTTTAACTCTGTCAAGGCTAGAGAATGAAGACTGGCTAACACAAACCCAGATATGGCAGTAGTACTCCATTTTTGGTCTGTTCTGACTCTTGTGAAGATAGAACATGGTAGCAGGACTAAGGTAGTTTCTGGAGCAGTACAAAGAACTGACCAGCATCTTTAGTGATGGTCCCACTTGAGTTAGCTTGTGTCCCAATAGACATCTGAGGCAAGAAGCTCATCAGGACTGGAGTAATTTAAGGTCTGTTTGGTGGTGATGAAACATTACTAGCTTTATTTTGGAGGTATTGCATGATACTAGCCGTAAGAGCTAGGTAAGTTGAGAAATCAGCTGCCAGGCTCTAGTCATCTAGTTTGGAGTTGCATCCATAAAGTTTAGTATCATCTGAATATATATTTATTAGAGATCTGTGAATGTTTTAAGGCAGGTTGTTAATATAAAGCAAAAAGAAGGTAGGACAAAGAAGAGGGATTTGGAAAATGCCATCATTGATATAATGTGCTTTGGAGGACTGTCCATTAATAATAACCCTCATGGACCTACCTGATAGGAAGGACTTGACAGTTGAGAAGCCTTTTCCAGTGATGTCAAAGTTGGAGTGTTTGTGTAACAACCCCTATGTGAAACATTTTTAAGGCCCTTAAGATACCTAAAGCGATTGCTCTCAAGATTTTTATTGTCAATTACTTCACTGATTCTATGATCATGATATCCCATTAAAATTTTCATATTGTAATGAAATAGGTTTTAGGTTTTATGATCACTGAAAATAATGAAAATAAAATCATTTTAAACAGAAGACTATTTCCATCAAATTATTTATAGGAAATATTTAGCACAAGAATGACAGGGTTAAAAATTTGGTAGTGTATAAGTTAAGTTTGATTTGTAGCTAATTTAGTAACAGGTACATATGATTATTATTTAGTGTAATTTGCTCAAATGATTGTCTTGGTATATAATATTTATTTTACCTTTATTCTTACTAAGTCCTACTCATAACAAATTTTTGTTACAATCACATTCACTTTCTCTAAATTTTTTAAAAATATTTCCTTACACTAAAGTAAGACTAAAAGGTATTATGATGTTGATTTTGTTCATTTAACCAGATTATTTTCAGTTATGGATCAAATACCAAGGTAGTCTAGGCCTTCTAGCCTTGGATGGTAAGTAGATTAAGAAGAAAGGCAATGAGAAATTTATCCACTATGTTCTTCAAGAAGTTATGGCAATTTACAGATAATGAAGAAAAGGAATCTGTGGGAGCCATGATTATCTACATACTGAAGAGACAGGCCTTTAAAAAAATATCTTTTAGTTACTGTGAATTCTAAACCAGACAGAATGCAATGGGAAACCACTATCTTTTGTAAGAATCCATGGAAAATCACAGATAACAAAGGAAAGGAATCTATGGAGAGCCATGATTGTCTATATACTGAAGGGATTACAAATAGATATTCCATTTCAATGATAAACCCACTATATTGCTTAGTAATAATGATAGGTTTTTTTTTTGGCTAAACCTTCATTATTCTAAGTTTAACCTTTATAATTGTTTCAGTCATAGATTGACTGTATACTAATGCTTTTCCAATAACTGTTGGAATTCTGATCACTTTATTATCATTTTATTTCACTTGTGATATTTTGCATTTGATTTGATCTATCACCAGTATTTGAATCAGATTTATGCTTTGAGTGCATCCTTAAAAGGGTAAATAAATGAAAAACTTAATTTGAATTTCTGGAATTAGGAATCATCCTTATTTACATGCGGACTATTGTTCTCACCTTTGTTGTTGGTATCACAACATTTTGGCTGTTGAGCTCCTGGCCTTCATCAGGTATTTATCTATCCAAGTAATCATCACAGAATTTTGAACTGTACCCTTTATTTAATTTACAGGGATACATTGTACTTGTTCTGGTGGCCATGTCTAGAGATATCCAATCAATTCTTATTTAAGAGTGAAGAACAACACAACACTGCTGACTAAAGAACGGGACAACTCAGGACCAGATAAACATAACTTTTTTTTTTTATAACCAAATAAAAGTAATTTATTAAGGATTAAAACCTTAATTAGTGAATATTTTATATAAGGCAATTGAAAAAGCATTATGTAAAATATGAACTAGTTTTTTGTTTTTAATTATTTTTAATGAAGTAAATTGTAAAGAAATTTATTTTTTAAATAAATAAATTCACATATAAAAATAATTCAATAAAACACATTTAATAAAGTAAGTCAAAAAATGTAAAACAAAATGAAGCAGTTTTTTGTTTTTAATTATTTGTAATAAAGTAAAATAATATAATATTAATATATAATTTATTTTTTAATAAAGTAATTTCAGTGATTCACAACATTAAATGTTATAATATTCTTTGTAAAAATATTTTAGAATTTTGATTTACTTTAATCAGGTAATCAGGAAGACAGTTGATAGCAATTGACATTACATTTAAATTTTTGCAGATTAAAGTAGGAAAGCATGGAGTTGGAAGGGTGTTCCACAAGTGAAAAGTGCAAGAAAAGAAACTGTTAGCATAGAACTTATGGCTACATCTTGCTAGCTCAATTGTAACTAATGACATCTTGATGCCAGTCTAGTACTGCACCCAAATTTATAGAGTCTAGGTACCATAGCAAAGAGCTCATTGAAACAATTATGAAAGTATTTATAAAAAAAAAGCATAGAGAGGCAACCTTACAATGACTGAAGCCAAGCCACCAGATCAGGACCAATGTTGCTGATTCTTCTTTGGATCTTATCAAGGAGCTCACAATGAAAGACATATAATGTGGATGCTTGTTTTGTATAATAATAGAGAAGGTCAGTGTCAATATAAAGTGTTGTTCTCAGCCCTAAGAAGGGCAGAAAATATCATTAGCAGATGACCTCTTAACTACTTCACATGTCACGTATGGCTGGTTTCTTTGGTGGTTGCATCTAGTGTTCTGTGGTTTCTCTTACCGTCACTTCTTCTCATCTAGCTCAGAGCACTTGGCTTATATCATTTTGACCAGACTTCCAGACTACTGGTGTAAACCTTGGTTTCAGCTAACATAAAAAGTCTCTTTGTGTTAATGTTTTTTGATTGGCCAAAATTATTTTATTTTCCAGTGATCTTTTCTTTTTCATTTTTTTTTATAGTGCAAATTATGGATGGAGCCTATTTGATTTTTGGTAGTTTTTAGTCACAAGTGGTTAGGCTCTGGTCCAGCAAATTTCTGCCATTTTTTGGCTGGGTTTAGTCTTTTCTTTTTCTTCTTTTTTTATTTGAGGGCTGCCTTCTCATTAGTTGAGAGAGAAGTATATAGAGAGAAGCATACCACAGCTATAGCATGGGTTAAGTTTGGCAGTTTTTTTTATTTATTTTAGATATTTTTCTTTTGGACCTACTGTCCTTTTTTTCTATTTGTATTTCTGAAACAACATTTTTTTGATTTTCACTGTATTGTGGCTTAAATTGACAATTTTTTGGCACTCTTCCGCAAAAGTCAGTATCGTTAACTTTTAATCCTGTTCAAGTTTTGTAAGCATTAAAGAGCATATTTCTGCATCATTGCTTGATGTTAGACCTTTAACATAGATTAGACATTTAAATCTGTCTGGGGATAGTTTATCCAGTTTAAATTTCTCACACTCATGATTGACTTTACTGGCATATATGAAATAATCTTCATCTTTGTCCCTAGTAAGGTTTATGAACTGCCAATATGTATAAAAAGTGAATTCTTTTCACAAAATTTTTTTGATAATATCGACACTGTTTTGTTAAATGACACTTTTTCTTGAGTATTTGGCAAAATGAAATTCAGATATTTTTCATATTCAGCGAGGCACAATTTTCATAAAAGACATACTTTCTTTTCATTTGATCTTCCTTGACATTCTTCTTTGAAAATGGCCTAGTACCTTCTGAAGTACAATAGGAATGTAATGTTTTCTTCTGGGATGTAATTAAATTCACAAATTTTGACTGAGTTCATGAACATGAAGTTGATGCATTGCCTGTTCCTTGCTTTTTCAGGATTGCCTTTAACTGTTCTCGATATTCAATCCACTCCTACTGCATTTGTTGTATTAGTTGCTGAATAATTATCTTCAATTCTTCTATAGTGTATTATTTTCATACAAGTAATCTAGGAAGAAAAAGATTTTGTTTTTTTTAATAGCAGTATGTCATAAACCCTTGGAATTTATCAACTTCTGCATTACCCTATGAATATACATGAACTCCACAAAATTATTTTCCTTGAATTTTGAATTTTCATTGCCAGCTATTATGGAGAGGTGTGTTCATCTCCACAACATAGCCCCATAGAAAAAAAAAATCACAAGCTGTCAAGTGAACATGGTGACCATTTCGACAGCACATTGTCATTATCACTGGCATACCATCTTCCTGGTAGATTCTCATTGAGATTAGTCCACACTAAATGTTATGTGAGACATGCTACAGCATGTTTGGCAGGAGCTGGACTACTGATTTGAAGTGTGTCATATCGCATGTGGTGTGCATATTGAACATTTGTGAATTTTTGTGAAATCTCTTTAAATATCTTGTTTGAGTGTTGATAAATAAATCTGTTATTGTTCAACATGAAGCCTATTTAATTTTGTTTGCCTGGGTCATGTAGTTACTTAGATATTTATATTTTAAATGATGTTATTTTTTTGTGGGGACGCCCTGTATTTATGGACACATATTGCATTTTTATATGTAGTTACATTTTGACTCTTTTCATTATTAGTCAGCCTTGCAAGTTCAATATTACTCTTTTCTCCTATGCTCTTCAGGCAGCAGAGAGAGGATCTTATGAAAAAGCAGACAGAGAAAACAGAATTTTTCTCCAAGGGAAAGAAGAAAGAGCTAACTAATAACAGCCTTCGACCTGAGAGCCCGTTGCCTAAGAGACCCCATAAGCGAACTAGCTACTCTCATGTGCGCAAAGTGGCTGCTACACGCTTCAGGCAAGAGGTAAGACAAATGAAACAAGAAGAAAATCAATTAGCATATAGCTGAAGCTATAACATTAACAACGGGGTACTTTGAGACTGTACTTTTACCATGTTTTGGCCTTGTGCCACATGTAACCCTCGTGGTGGGGGGTAGCTAAATATCACTTTTATCATTTTTTGAACTCGTATACTCTTCAGCCTTTGTAAAAAAAAAAAAAAATGAAAATGCAAGTTTAAGAGTAGTTATTAGATAATAATGATACCTTGACTTAGGCAAAAATAGCTACTGATCTATAAAAAGTGTGTATTAAAAACTGTAGGCGATATTTACTCTAAGTAAATAATTATAAACCCTCAGTATTTATATACACAAAAATACTTGTAAAAATGAGAAACAGCAAAGATGTGGAGTCTGTCTATATTTCTGAGATGAGGTATTATGTACATTATTTACATTATTCGGACTATTGTCCTCATCTTTGTCACCATATTTGTCACAACGTTTCGGCCGTTGTACCAACGTTTTGGCTGTTGTACCTTTATCCACTGTGCTATGTGTCCTTGAGGACACATGGCACAGTGGATAAAGGTGTTGGTTAGATCCAGTGACAAGACCCAAAGAGTGTGAGTTCAATACCCAGTTAAGGCAGTGGAGAACTTTCAGAGGGAAAAATTAACAGGAGATAACTGATAGCTGACATCCATCAAACATGGCACGTGGAACTAGAACAGTCTACCCCAGTGAGCAAAATAAAGGGTTCAGTTCGACTGAAGAAGGCTGGAGCGTACAACAGCCGAAATGTTGTGACAAATATGGCGACAAAGATGAGGACAATAGTCCGAATAATGTAAATAATGTAGCAAGATGTGTATTATTTATTATCTGCTTGTTACATGGTGTAGGAGACACAGAAGACAGTAAATACTGCATAAAATTGTAAGTTTGGGGTCACAAGAAGATCAAATATGAATTGGAATCAGAGAATGACAAGATAAAGAATAAGTAAAGTATATACAGTCATTCTCGTAAGATTTTATAGATGTGTGTAATGAATATCCCAATAATTTAGTCAGAAAATACAAGAATTGTCTGGAGTTTTCTTACTACAAATTTCTGTTGAATGCTAAAAGATAAATGTTACTATTATGGCCTTAAAAGGAGATGAAATTTTTTGTTGATGCATGTGTTAATGACCTGTCTGTATGAACTGCTTGTCCAATAGTGAGAATGCCATGTTTTTGTGTGCAGACTAGAAAAGTGAGGTTGGTTCTCATTGGTTTAGAATAAGTGAATTAATGATTATTATAATTGTTATAATTATTTTATTATATTTTTTTTTTGACACTATAATTAATTTTTTTATGAGAACAACAAGCTATACTCTATGCTGTAACGTACATAAACTGTGAATTGGGTATTAAATGTTTGCACAGTCTGGAGCAGGTTACGGTTAGCTGATGATAAAATGTCTGAATATTTGTAACTTTTTTTTAGTTTTCATCCATAAAAGATTGCTTAAGAATGTTTTTCCCTTATAAGCCATATTGATATGAAGCATTAAAATTCAGTCCTGCAATTAGCAAAAGAGAAAATATTAATCTTATTAACACCAACCTTGATACTGTGAAGTTATGTGATTTTGACAATGGTTGACATCTAGTTGAAAAGATGGAGAAAGAAAGAAAAAATATTAATTCTACTAACATGAGACCTTACCAGTTAATCTTTGAACTCTGTTAAACATTTGTGATCTAGGTGAGGAAATGTAAAAAGAAAATACATTTACAGACCACCTGATACAAGATATACCTGATTAATGTTTCAAACACAACAAAAATGAAAATTTTGCTGAGGAAAATTTTCATTTGTAAACAATGATTACCCATTAGTAAAAATGATTGAAATTATTTACTAAGTCTCTTCATTGTTATAGTAAATCTGAATGTTTTTTTGTTTTCATTTACAGTCAGCAGGTAAAGTGAGTAACAAAGTTTCCAACGAACCAGACACTTCAAAACCAATGGATATTTTAGATGACGAAGAATTTGACAGAGTCAGGGGTCTCATCCAAAGAGACAGTCTAGTACGTGATATGGGTGTGGCTGATATTGTCTACAAATTGCTCAATATTTCCCAGACAGTGTCTCCACCAATAGCAAACCAGAACAAAAGTGATAAACAACTTGTTATACTGGTAAGAATAACCTGTTTACTTTCATTTCAAATACGTCGATACATCAATAAGTCTGTTTTACTTGGCAAATATTTTTCAAAATAATCTCCTTCCTTATCAGTGCTCTTAATTTAGTTGGGAAATATTCACAAGAAGATCAAATATGGATTGGAATCTGACAGAATGATAAGATAAAGAATAAGTAAAGTATATACAGAGAGAATAGAAAACAAAAACAAAATATACTAACAATGAAAATTAACTACCTGTTGAAAACTGCTTAGGTATTAGCTGAAAGCACTCAGGACTATAATTGATAAAAGCAGTTTCTACACACTTTTGGTCCTGATAAAAGTAAAATTGTAAGGACACTACAAAAAATGAATAGAAAATTTACAAAATATTCCTTGTCCTGCATATTCAATAAAATGTGTGTGTGTATATAATTTATTATAGGAGATTAAAACAAAAACATGTTAAAAATGACTACACAATAGCAATTGTGTTTCAACACTACAAATGTGCCTTCTCCTTGGGTGATGGTAGTAAATTGTAGTGTTGAAACATGATTGCTAATGTGTAGTGATTTTTAACATGTTTTTGTTTTAATCTCCTATAATAAATAATATATAGCTCTACTCTGTATTGAACCCACTTTTAAATTAAATGTTGTGGACAGTGGAATTATACTTCATTCATTCTTATCTTACCTATATATATATATATATATATATATATATATATATATATATATAGCCAATACTTTAAACTAAACAAGTAAGCTAACCACCTCTTTAAGCTAAAAAAATCTGAATAAATAAACAAATTAAGTAATTAATAAAGAAATTAACAAACTATAAATGCATACATAAACACAAGTAAATGTAATAATCAGCAACATATAATTAAGTAATAGATAATAAGTAAAAAGATAACAAACAAAACTATATAATAAATAGAAATAACTGCATTTGAATCTACAATTATTCTTATTCAATATATATGTGTGTGTGTGTGTGTGTGTATATATATATATATATGTGATCCTATCAATAAAAAAAATTATTTAGTTTGAAGAAGTACTTTTGAAAGAATAAACAGATTGCATAGGTTTTTTCCATTTTGTTATTTAATTATCCTACCATTTGTCTGATATATAATGTATGGATAGATATATAGATAGACTCATAAAAATAAAGGAGAGACAGACACATAAATATAAAGTATAAACTCATAAAAAATATAGTGTGTAGTTGCTTTCAGGAATGCATTATATCAATGAGAATAATGACAGACACAGGATAGACGTTTAAATTAGAGGCTTGTGCCACACATGTTCTTTATTCAACATACGCTATGACAGTGTCCTTTTTATCTCCTTCTATAGGGAGTGGAGGTTAAAGAGACATAATTAGGGTATTATGTTAATGTTATATTTTTTTTAAAAGGTGTGAAAGATGTGCTTATCCAAGTTGAAAGTCTTTAAATCTGGAAGGCAGTCATATGTTACGAATGGGTCCCGACTTCACCTCCAGTCCCTTATTTCATACTGTTTTTTTAGTGCTTGATGTTATAAAGGTTTGATATTTATTGATGTTTTTGGTGGGGTAGGTGGTGTTGGTGATACCCATTATAGTGTTTTGGTTTTCCAGATGTATTAGAATGGGAATATCTGGAAATGGTGAAGTGTGTGGGTTGGTGGGTCGTCCATGCTGTTGTTTCTATCCATATCTGGTAGGTCGTTACCATGGACTAGGTTGCAGGTATCTGCATTTATTTTGCGGAGGAAGCAGTGGTTTCAGAGTGTGGTTTGTCTGCTGCCATCAACTAATATGTGGTATTGTCTGTAAGGGAGGCTTTCAACAACTGTACTGGTATTATCCCAGTGCAGAGGGTTATTTTCATGTTAGTTTTGGATAGACACATGTTCCCCTAACTTCAGTGGGTCTAATAGCCTACTCTTGGTATGCTTGGTGTTATTAACAAATCACTGGTTGATGGCCTCTCACGTATATTGGCAAGCTCTACCCATTCACGGTGGAATTTTATGGGGTTCAGCAGGTGGCCATTTAAGGGACGAGCAAACAATTTTTGTAGGTGAGGCACCTAAATCAGGCGGTGGGATGTTGAGATGCAGTAGGAGTGCTTTTGCCACATCCACATGTATCTCGTGAACCGCTGGGGCTAATGTTTGTTGTGAGTATCCATTTCATGTGTTTGACAGCTGCTTCGGCTCTGCCATTGCTTTGTGGATAAATGCTGAGGACACTTGTTGGTATATGCCCCATGATCTTAAAAATCTCTTCAATTCATCTGAGTTGTATGGGGGTTCACCATCACAAGTGACTTCCTCTGGTACACTTTAATTTACAAAGTACCTGCATAAGATGTTGCATATCAGGAAGGCTTTTGCATCGTGGTGCATCAAAGCTACTTCCGTCCAACCTGAGTATCTGTCAGCATATACCATATATTTATGTCCAGCCATGTTGAAAATGTCTGTGACCGTTGATTGGAATGAATTGACCGTTGAATTGGGTGAGTAGGCTTGAATGCCAATTCATTAGGGCTTAATGGAGCAATTTCATTGCAACATTTGCATTGATTTCATTTTTCTTGCAATTGTGCCCCCGCACCAGGCCAAAAGAACATTGTCTGACATTGCCTCTCATACTATTGACCTCTTGCTGGTCAATGAGTTCAGGGTGTAGTTTTCTTGGAATTAATACACATCCTAATACTAGTGATTGAACTGTGTACAAATCGTTCCACATGTTCCAGAATTCCTAGATGTGTGTGTGTGTGTGGGGGGGTAGATGTTCCTTATGTTCAGATGGAAAGTCTCTGATGCCATCAAATAATTTCTGAGATGGTTTATACCCTGTTGGGCTGATGTCGAAACCAGCAAATTCCATATTGTCTTTTGCAAAATGAAATTTGTCTGGATTGAAGATGATCCCATTGTCAGCACAAAGCATGATGTATTTAATAGTGTGCCAAAATGATAGTGCTACATTATCATCCTTTAAAATGGAATCATCCACACAGTGGGCTACGCTGGGGAAACCCTTTGTAATGTCATCAAATCACTTCATGTAGCTGTCATTGGATGCTTAGAAGCCTTGAGGAGCTTGCAAGTATCGGTATCTGCCCCATTCCATGATGAATGTGGTGACATCACATGCCTTTGGAGAGAGGGGCATGCTGTGGTATCTGTTCCAGGCATCGAGAATGGTTTTCTTCTTCCCTGTGGGTATCGTGCTGACAAGGTTAAGTGGAGAGTGTGTGTGGTGTGTCTCCCGTTTTGTAGCTGCATTCAGGTCTTGTAGATCAACTGTTCTATGTGGACTGCCATCTTTTTTGGGAACTGTAATCATTCTGGAGCACCAAGTTGTTGGTGTTCCAGCAGGGACTGGTTCTATATATAGACTCATTAAAATAATGAATAAAGAGATTGTTAGACTCACAGAAATAAAGGACAGATAGATAGACTCATAAAAATAATGCATAGATAGGTATATGGATAGACTCATAAAAATAAAGGTTGCATAGATAAACCCATAAAAATGAGGATAGATTCATAAATATAAAGGTAGATAGACTCATAATAATAAAGGAAGGATAGATAGATAGATAGATAGATAGATAGATAGATAGATAGATATACTACTAATAATAAAGGATAGATAGATATACTCATAATAATAAAAGATAGACTCATAATAATAAAGGATAGATGGATAGATAGATAGATAGATATACTAATAATAATAAAAGATAGACTTATAAAAATAAAGGATAGATAGATAGATAGATAGATAGATATACTCATAATAATAAAAGATAGACTTATAAAAATAAAGGATAGATAGATAGATAGATAGATAGATAGATAGATAGATAGATAGATAGATAGATAGATAGATAGATAGATATACTCATAATAATAAAAGATAGACTTATAAAAATAAAGGATAGATAGATATACTCATAATAATAAAAGATAGACTTATAAAAATAAAGGATAGATAATAATAGATAAAGATAGATAGATAGATATAGATAGATAGATAGATAGATAGATAGATAGATAGATAGATAGATAGATAGATAGATAGATAGATTATACTAAATAATAAAAGATAGACTTATAAAAATAAAGGATAGATATGATATAATAATAAAGGATAGATAGATATACACATAATAATAAAAGATAGACTCATAAAAATAATGGATAGATAGCTAAATAGACTCGTAAAAATAAACATACATGAATAGACTCTTAAAATAAATGATAGGCTCATAAAAATAGAGAATAGATAGAAAGATAGACTCAATAAAATAAAAGATAGATAGCTATGAATGGACTGGCAAGATTAGTTTTTTATTCTTCTTACTGCTTTATACACATACATGTAATATATACTTACACACTCATGTAAGAAATGTAGCTGCTTTGCTGCATACAGACATTCCTTGTCAACTTTTAGTATGCGCCGAAAACATGCAGGATGTTTTACCACAGAACTTTGCTTTTTTATGTTTGTTAAATAAGTCTTTTGTTAGTGTGACAAATTTATTTTTTTCAGTTCAAATTATCAACATGTAGTGATCGACTTAACGTCTGTAAATAATTTGTTTTCATAGGAATATTAATTTTCAAACATCATCACACCAATTCCCTAACTCAATACTATAGGGAAAATTCTTGGCACTTCTTGAGGAAAATGTTGCATTGTGGTGTGAGAATAGTATTTGGTATAGGAACAATGTTGCATGACTAATTCAGTTATTTAGCAATGAAGTCCAACACCTCTTTATCATATTTCTTTTTTGTTGTGTGTCAGATATTTTATTGTCATCTTTAAAGCTTAAGAAATAAATACTCAGACCTAGGACTAACTCCAAATTTTTTTCTATATTTTCTAATTCAACTTCTTTTCGAAAATTTTAGAAAAATCTACTAATAGAAAACAACATTCCTGCTCTCCCTTCCAAGGCCAATATACTAATGATGAGGGGACAATGCCAATGATTTATATATTCATAATTGGGATAAGAATGATCTTGAACAAATAAACAACATCTATCAAAGGTTCTAAGATGCAGGACAAAAAATAAACCTTTCCAAAATAGGAACTCTGATCTGGAATTGGAATGAAAATGCTGATGGCACACAGACTCAATCCAGCATTAAAATTTTGGATGTAGAATTAGTAAATATCAAACACTTCAAATATTTCAGTATACTGATCAGTTATAATAAATTTAGTATAGAAGACAAAGACCATAGCATTAGATGTCTCAAATACCCTTGACAAGTTGTGGCACAAAAGTTCTCTACACTAGCTCTCCAGCTATGGAATCACTGGAAGGGTTTTCTCAATTATAAAATCCTTCTTAACAGGTAGATTCCTGAAGGTAGTTATTAACAGTCAGTCCTCTGAGGCCCTGGCAGTCAATGTAGGTGTCCTCCAGGGATCATTTCTCAGACCAACTCTCTTTTGATTTACATAAGTGATCTGCCTAAGAATATACTACAATCATTTGTAAGTATCTATGTTGACACAACGATATACAGGCACACCTCTAAAACTCTTGACAATCAGAGATTGGCAGCTGACCTCTCTTCCGATCTAGCACTAACTTCCCAGTAGGAAAAAACTTGCTGATTACATTCAATGCCTTGAAAACAAACTAGTTACATTCCATCACTGATGATCAGACCCTGAACTATCACCTGTCATGATGAATGTGTATCCCCTCAAGGAGGCACCATGCCTTGAGAATATATTGGGCTTCAAACTAATACCCCATCTCAAGTGGAACTCTTATATATGATCCATCGCTAAACATGCAAGTAAAATTATCATCTCCCCGTACCATTCCCTCATGCTATTCTCTACTTTTATAAGGCTAAATCAGACCAAAAATGGAGTGTTGTTTGGGCAGTAGCTGTCCAGTCCTCATTTTCCAATCTTGATAGAGTTCAAAAGTGTCCTTGGGTCCTTGTTGGAGAAGAATTATTTTCCACCCTCTAAACTCTCTCTCACAGGTGACATGTAGCAAGTCTCTCACTGCTCTGTCGTTAATACCATGGAAAGATGAACTACATTCCTTGGTTCCACCAGGTCTAACCTTCACGTCTAGAACCAATCATACCGCTTACATAGTAGCAAACCACTGACATTCTCTTCATATTCTATTAGTGAGAAGTAAGTTCCACTCAAACAGCTTTTTCCCACAAACCACTGCTCTGTGGAACAGACACCCAAGAGGAATGTTTCACATTGAGACTTTCATTCAGAAATATTTAAACTGTCAGCTTCATAAGACCATTTTCTCAGATATATGGTTAAAAATGTCTTCATTTAATTGAAACATGTAGGTCTTAATGAGGACCATCCT